TATTGCATTTTAGGTTTTGGGGTACATGTGAAGAACATGCAAAATTGTTGCATAGGAACACACGTGGCAGTGTGATTTGCTGCCTTCCTCCCCATCACCTACATCTGGCATTTCTCCCCTTGCTATCTCTCCCCAGCTTCCCACCCCCCACCGTCCCTCCCCTATTTCCCCCCAACTGACCCCAGTGTGTAGTGCTTCCCTCCCTGTGTCCATGTGTTCTCATTTGAACTTGACATTTTTGAGGGTGAAATCTGTTGTGGAATCTTCCCCAGTTTGGATGTGTCTGATACGTTCTCATGATTGGACTGGAGTTATGAGTTGATGGGAAGAGCTGCACTGTCGTGGCAGGTCACAATAGCAGCTCATCTCATCCCTGCTGATGCTAAGCTTGATCGCTTGGTGAAGCTGGCATCTGCAGGTTTCTCCACGACAGAGCAACCGTTTCCCCCTTTCCATATCCTTAGTCCAGGCCTCACTCAAGGTGAGGGGAATTAAGTCCCCCTCTCCCGAGGGAGGAGGATCTACACATATCACAGCGAACTCTTCTCTGTTACTGCAAATGCACGATTCCTTAGTTCCTTGGTAATGTGGGTAGATGAGGGTGAACTTCATCTACCCAAATTACAAGGTAAGTGGAAAAGTTGGCAAAGCCTTACAATTTAAACAAATCCTTTCAAAATATGTGATCAACTCTGCTTTCCTTTTCACAGTTGTTTCCTGGTGAAACAGATCTCTTAACCAAGATCACTGTTAAATCAGTTCAGTTACCCCATCCCCGAATGCCTGAAAAATGGAACAACTTCATTCAGAAACAAACAAAATAAAATGAAAGCAACCACCAGTCAATTGCCTTGAGCCAGGTGCTCCCTGCGTGTGCCTGCTGACCTCCATACACTCCGCACAGACAATATCACCCCCTATCAAGAGGCCGAGTGACTTGCCCACAGCACAGCAGTGGCCTGTGGGTGCCCACCCAACCCCCTTTCCACAGCCCACATCCCTTCTTTCCTCTGTGGCACATTCACTGCTTTTTCCAACTTCCAGAGCCCAAAAAGCAGAATCTACCCTGGATGGATAAACTTTTATAAATTAAAAATTCTCAAAACTGGAAACACACAAACCACGGGGCAATTGATTCATAGCTGAGGCAGAGATCCTATTCATGCCTCTTCCTCTGTCTGTAGCACCCACAGCAACGTCCCTGCCTGCTGTCCCCACGACAGGCCTCAGAGCACCATTTGCACAATTTAAAGGCAGACGATCAAGAACCCGGAAGATACAGCCTCACCTTGGCAATGCTTCAGTGGTGTTGCACCATAGCTCTTCAAATCCCGGCACCCTTACAGTGGAGCAGACTTCTAGTGACAACCAGCATCTTCCAACACCATCCTAAAGCAAAAAGCCAGTCCCAGATGAATCCTTCTCATCTCAATCAGTTTTCATGGCTTGTGGCTTTCTGGCAGCAGACAGGGGTGGCAGCACCCCCGGTTTGCGATCAGAGCCTCCCCAGCCCCCAGTGAGCAAGTGCAGCAGGGGCCCCGCCCTCCAGCCGAGCCCTGCTGAAGCTCCTGTGGGCTTCCTGGGCTTGGTTGGGGGGGGTGCCTCTGCTCCATGAAAACGCCTGAGGAACGACCATGAGCAGCTGCCCTTTCCATGACCCTGGGCCACATGGGTCACAATGCCCCTCTGTCACCAGAAAGTTTTCTCATGGGGTTTTGGTTTAACAGCACAGCTGGTGTTTTTCCTGTACCAAGTCTGGCAGGGTTAGCAAACCTCCACACCGACTCTACAAGGTAATTTGCGTTGCCGTGTTGACAAACGCTATGGAGCTCAGGAGAGGTCGTGGGCTCTGCCGTGTGCCATCTGTGTGAAGCTGTTCTCTCAGCCTCACTGGTTTTGTGTTGTCTTTAAATGATGTTAATAATAGCTAGCACACAGGACATAATCAGCATTAAGTGGAAGAATGGGCATGAACGGTGGGCACAGAATCGGTGCTCCGTAAAAGCTAATTCCTCATGTGTTTAATAGTTCCCTAGCCAGTAGTTGACTTAGATCTCTTCAGTGTTGGCAATTCACTTGGCTATGAAAACTCAGAGGAGGAGAGAACAAGAATAATGGAGGCGATGGGAGAAGGATCCCAACATCTAGAGCAGTAAGTGGTGTCTGGAGTGGTGGGTGGCATCCTGTCCACAGCAGTCAAGGGACCAGTGGGAACAAGAAGGCTTCTGAGATGACCTCAGAATCTTGCTGATCAAACCAGGCATGGTGAGCCACTCACCAGTGAGCTGGCTCCTTTCCACCGGTGTCTTATCAGAGGAAGCCACTCAGTGGGCTCTCTCTTCTCCCTTCATGGTCTTGGATCCTTGAGAGTAGGTGTGGTGCGCAGACAGGCCAGCTTCTACCGCACGGTCCAGAGTCTCAGTTTCCTCATGGAGTTCATTTCCTTGCAGTGGGCTAAGTCAATACTGAGCTGTGAGTTACAGCTTTGACAGGTGCTTATGTCAATAGAGGCAGCAACACAGAGTTCTGGGGTTTTAAGACACTGTGGAAATAGTCTGTTTCACTTCCCCGGGGTTTTTGTGAGAATAAATGGATTCATACATCAAAAGCATCTATTACCATATTTAGCACATACTAGACTCCAAATACCTGGAAGCTGATGTGAATGTGACTAACTGCTTTAAGTCCCAGATCTGATCTTCTCTGCGAGGTAGCAAAGGGCTCAGAACAGTGTCTAGAATCCTGGGCCTGCTCGGTCCATGGCGGCTCCCGTTAATTTACTCTTACATTCACCTCCTGATAACTACTATGCGGATCCAACCATGAAACACAAGTTGAAAGAGTTCCAAACTCTGTAAGCTTCTGATTTAAAAAGTGACTGATTTGACATGAGATGACTCGGTCTTCCTTCTTCAATTAGATTAACGCAGCACAGTTTTCTGAATACCTGCTCTGTGGTAAGCACCCGCTGGAGGCTGGAGATATCAATACAGCTACGCTCCATCCTCCTCTGAGGGCCTCAGCCTAAGAAGCTTGGGGAAGGGGCCTGGTAAGCAGATCACTGCAGTGGAGCACGGCAGATGCAGCCACTGAGTTCTCAGTGGGGCACAGTGCTAGACCAGAGGCAGGGGCAAAATTCTATCAGGGGTCACTGAGGGAAGCTGCCAAGGAGATGGCTTTGAACATGATTCGTGACTAAGACTCCTACAGACTCTCAGAGACAGATCCCTGGGCTGAGTCTTTTGCTGAACCAGGATGCTGTGAGGTTGCCTGAACCATTTCTAACATTTTGTCAGTGGGGCCTAAATAGATGCTTTTGGACAACTATAATATACTTGGACTTCAGGGTATAGAGAATATAGTGGGGAGCAAGAAATCCAGCTTCCTACAAAGAAAATCCATTTTCCATCTACCCAAGGTTAGAGTGAGAGGGGATGTGAGAATCTGCAGGGAAGTGCTCTGGCCCTTATGTGATCCAGGATAAAACATTACCTTTCTGTCCACCCCAGAAGACAGAGGTTGTAAAATAACAGTAACACACACACACACAAACACACACACACACACACACACACACTCACTCACTCACTATCTCTCTCTCTCTCAGAGAATTCCAGCAGCCACTCAGAAAGAAAACAAGGAAGTGACTTTGTTCATGGGTTCCAGATGTCTGAGCAGAAGTGAAAGTTAATTTCAGCCATTTTCACCCTCACAGTCACAGGCCCGTGAGAAAGGCAGAGGAGAAGTCGGGAAAGGACCTGGGGAGAAGTTGGGAACAGTGGGACATGTTAGGGGAGGCTTGGGGCATCCTTTGTTAGATACTTTTTTAGAAAACCTCAAAGAGGTTTTGTCAAGGCTGGACTGAGACTAGACCCCAGCTCTGAAACGCCCAGTTCAGCGTTCAGCATCACTGGTTCTCCCATTTATTTTTATACACTTGAGGTGACTTATGCAAAATTCAGCTCTCCGTCCATGTGCCTACGCCAGCCTCCTAATATCAGCTCATCTCTGATCCAAATCAAAAGCTGTGGGCAATAAAGTATTGAAGTGGAAGAAGCATGAAACCGATCCAGTCCAAGATTCACCTTAGAAGGGTCTAAGGAGTTGGCCAATTTCCTTTTGAAAAAAAAACAAAAAACAGGTATAAAACTAGATAGAATTGTCAAAAACAACAATTTCTGGGTACTGGAAAATGACCCAAAACAGAAAACAAACTGGTAAGTGTTTAATCTTAAAAAGCCACTCCTGCATCAGAATGGCCACAAGTCTATGGACATCTTGCCTAAAGCTCCCCAGCCCCTGGCCCGAGTGAGGAAAAGCACAGGTTACCTAATGTGAATGGTGGGCTTGGTTCGAGGCCTGTCATTGAAAACCAGTAGCTGAGACAGGCATGGCGGCTGATGCCTGTAATCCCAACACTCTGGGAGGCTGAGGTGGGTAGATCACTTGGGGTCAGTAGTTCGAGACCAGCCTAGACAACATGGTGAAACTCCATCTCTACTAAAAATACAAAAATCAGCTGGGCATGGTGGTGGGCCCCTGCAGTCCTAGCTACTCAGGAGGCTGAGGCACAAAAATCACTTAAACCCGGGAGGCAGAGGTTGCAGTGAGCCAATATTGCACCACTGCACTCCAGGCTGGGTGACAGAGCAAGACTCCATCTCAAAAATAAATTAAAAAATAAATAAAAAGAAAACCAGTAGCTTTCTTTTTATTTGAAGAAGGTGGTAGATTTGGTCTGAAATGGGGAGATGAGAACCTGCAGTTTTGTGGATTAAAGTTCATGGAATCAGTTCTGGAGAGAAAGTAAAAATCTGCAGCTTTACTGACTTGAGATTATAGCATTTGTTCATGGCAGACAGAAGAGCAGCCAGGATTGTTATGAGGAGAACCTGGAAGTAAGCAAGCCATGAAAGGACTGAGATAATAGACTCCCTGCACATCTCTGACTGGGGAACAAACCAAAACAAAGGGGCAGCAAAGAGTGAGAGCCAAGGGAGACCTACGGATGTGCAAAAAAATTTTTTTTTAGTTTAAAATTTATTTGTTTTATGTATTTAGGGGGTACATGTGCATGTTTCTTACATGGATATATTGCGTCACGGTGGAGTCTGGGCTTTTAGTGTGCCCATCACCTAAACGGTAGGCATTGTACCCAATAGGTAGTTTGATGTTTTTTTTCTTTCAAACAGAGTCTCTCTCTCTCTCCCAAGGTGGAGTGCAGTAGTGTGATCATACCTTGTTACAGCCTTGACCTCCTGGGCTCCAGTGATCCTCTTACCTCAGCCTCCCAAGTAGCTGGGACCAGAGACACGTGCCACCACACCCAGCTAGTGTTTTGTATTTTTTGAAGAGACAGGGTTTTGCCATGTTGCTCCAACAGGTAGTTTTTCAACTCTCACCCCAATATCACCCTCCTACCTTGTGTGAGGGCTTATACATGTGAATGTGTTTCTCCAGCCACACACAGCTCTGGCAGCAGAGGGTGGGAGGCTTAGTTATTAAAGGTATCTGATCATAATTTCCAACCAAATAATTGTCTCATCATTATATAATGTAGGAATAGAGGACACCCTTAGAGAACCAGACTGAAAAACAAAACAAAAAAATGCCGTAATAGAAGCTACACGGTAGTATCAGTGGCTGCACACTGTGGGGGAGATTAATTCTGCAATTTAAGTCCAGAAAAGTTACTAAAATAAAAAATCAACAACTTTTAGGGAAGTGAATGGAATCTAGAATCAATGTCCAGTTTTCAACCAGAAATTACTAGACATGCAATGAAACAGGAAAGTGTAACCAGAAAAAACAAAACAGACAGTAGATTCAGACAGGGCTTCAAAGCATTTGTTATAGCTATGCTCAAGGAATTAAAGAAAAATGTTCAAAGAATTAAAGAAACTTATTTTACAATGAACCAATGATAGTTTCAATAGATAATGGAAATTACAAAAAAAAAGAATCAAATGGGATTTCTACAGCTGAAAATTACAAAAATTTATGACATGGATTCAAGAGCAGATCTGAGATGGCAGAATAAAGAAGCTTTACATTTGAAGATAGAGCAAAAGTTATGCAATCCAAAGAACAGAGAGTGAAAATTTAAGAAAAATGAGCAGACCCTTAAAGACCTGTAAGGCAATACAAAGTGTTCAAACACAAATGTAATAGGAGTTCCAAAAAAATATGAAAGAGAAAGAGGAACAGAACAATTATTAAAAAAAAAAAAAAAAAGCTGAAAATTCTCCATGTGAGTGAATACCATTAACTTAGAGAGTCAAGAAACTGAATAAACCCAAAGTTAAAAAAACAAACAAAAAACATAAAGAGACATCATAGTCAAAATGCCAAAGCCAAAGAAAGGAGCTAACATTGTAAGCAGTAAGAAAAAGAGAGGGAAACAGAGATACATCACATTCAAGACAACATGATTGATCACTGATTTCTCATCAGAAACAATGGTAACTGGAAGTTGGTGGAATGATATTTTTAAACTGCTGAAAGAATAATAAAAACAAGAACAAGGACTTTCACCTACAAATTTACTATTTAATAAAACTATCCTTCAAAAATAGAGGTAAAATAAATATTTTTCCAGATAAACAAAACAGAGAATTTGGTTCTGTTGGACTTATACTATAAGACAAATTAAAGGCAGTCCTTTAAAATGAAAGAAAATAATATCAGGTAGTAATCCAGTTCACATAAAAAAGAAGAGCACTGGAATAGTGAGTATGTAGGTAAAGTGAACATATAGAATATAATAACTAAAATACAAAATATATATGTATACATTACTTTTTCTTCTCTTAACTTCAAAAAACACACGCAATTATTTAAATCAGAAATTATAATGCCATACTGTGGGTTTATGACACAGTATGGTATTAAATGTATAAATACAATACATATGACAATAACAGCACAGGGGAGGGAGGGTAAGAAATGATGCTATAATTGTGCAAAGTTTTTTATTTTTCACCAAAAAAGTAAATCAGTATGAATTTAAAGATTATGATAAACTGAAGATGTGTATTATAGTCCCGGGAGCAATCACTAAAGAAAAAAGGTGCAAAGAAACAGAGTTAAAAAATAAGCAGAAGAATTTAAATGGTATACTAAAAATATTTTAATATAAAAGTAGTTGGCCAAGCACAGTGGCTCACACCTGTAATCCCAGCACTTTGGGAGGCCAACGTGGGAGGATTGTTTGAGCCAGGAGTTCAAGACCAGCCTGGGCAACACAGCAAAACCCTGTCTCTACAAAAAATACGAAAATTAGTTGGGTGTGGTGGCATGCACCTGTGTTTCTAGCTACTCAGGTGGCTGAGATGGAAAGATCGCTTGAGCCCGGGAGGTAGAAGTTGCAGTGAGCCATGATTGTGCCACTGCACTCCAGCCTGAGTGACAGAGTGAGACCGTATCTCAAAAATAAATTAAAGTAATAAAATAAAAGTAGTCAATTAAAGAACAGCAGAGGAGGCCGAGTGTGGTGGCTCATGTCTGTAATCTCAGCACTTTGAGAGGCCAAGGTGGGCCAATCACAAGGTCAGGAGTTGGAGACCAGCCTGGCCAACATAGTGAAACCCTGTCTCTACTAAAAATATAAAAATTAGCTGGGCATGGTTGCAGGCTTGTGTAATCCCAGCTACTTGGGAGGTGGAGGCAGGAGAATTCTAAATCTAAATCCAAACATGAAAAACTTTATTAAATTTAAAAAAATTAAACACTCCAATCAAAATGCAAAGACTGTTAGACTGAAAAGAAAGCAAGACCCAATTCTATGCTGGCTATAGAAAATAAACTTTAAATTCAAAGACACAAACAGATTAAAAGTAAAAGGATGCAAAAAAATACATACCATGTGAACAATACATAGATTATAACTGGAGTGCCTATATTAATATCAGATAAAATAGACTTTAAGAGAAGACATATTACTGGGAAAAAAGGGTGACTTCATAACAAGGAAAGAGCAAGCAATAGCCAGAGATGTCAAAATTATGTGCATGTACCTTTTTAAAAAGCCCTAGAAATACCATTTGACCTAGCAATCCCATTACTGGGTATATACCCAAAGAATTATAAATTGTTCTATTCTAAAGACACATGCACATGTATATTTATTGCAGCACTGTTCACAATAGCAAAGACTTGGAACCAACCCAAATGCCCATCAATGATAGACTGGAGAAAGAAAATGTGGCATATATACACCATGGAATACTATGCAGCCATAAAAAAGGATGAGTTCATGTCCTTTGCAGGGACGTGGATGAAACTAGAAACATCATCATTCTCAGCAAACTAACACAAGAACAGAAAACCAAACACCGCATGTTTTCACTCATAAGTGGGAGTTGAACAATGAGAACACATGGACACAGGCAGGGGATTATCACACACCAAGGCCTGTTGGGGGGTGGGAGCTAGGGGAGGGATAGCATTAGGAGAAATACCTAATGTAGATGATGGGGTGACGGATGCAGCCAACCACCGCGGCACATGTATACCTGTGTAACAGACCTGCATGTTCTACACATGATACCCCAGAACTTAAAGTACAATTTAAAAAAGACAAAAAAGCCCTAAAACATGTGAGGCAAAACCTGACTGAATTAAAAGTTCAATACATAATATACCAATTACAGTTGAAGATTTTAATATTTTTCTTTCAGTAATTGATACAACAAGTGGAGAGAAAGTCAGAAAGGATAAAACGGAATGGAAGACATTATCAAAGAACTTGATTAAACTGACATATACAAGCAATCCACCGAGAATATCCATTATTTTCAAGCTTACATAAAATATCACCAGGATAGACCCTATGTAAGCCATAGGGTATTAAAGCAAGTCCCAATGACTGTAAAAGGAATAAAATTATACAAAGTATATTCTCTAACCATAATGGAATTAAATTAGAAATCAGTAACAGAAATAATTGTGGTAAATTTATTTGGTGTAAATTAAACAACACACTTCTAAATAACCCCAGTCAAAGAAGAAATTAAGTGAAAAATTAAGAAATATATTGACCTGAATCAAAATGAAATTGTAGCACATAAAATTTTATGGCAGCAGCTTAAAAAAATACTTAGAGGGAAATTTATAGCTATAAATATTAACATTAGAAAAAATACAAGGTTGGTCTACAATCACCGAAAAAGAACAAATGAAGCACAATATAAGAAAGGAAGTTAATAAATTATAGCAGAAATCAATGAAATAAAAGACAAATAAAGAAAAGAGAAATGGTGAAACCAGAGACGGGTTTGATAAATCTACCTGTCAACAAAGTAAAGATTTTATTTTCATCGCAGAATCTCCAGAGGCTTGAGGAATTAGAAGTGAGGGTAAGTTTTCACTTCTCTCTCTCTTCTTTTGGAATTCACAGAACATGTATTTGGCTCATTTGATGCTATGCCATAAATCTCATAGGATTTCTTTATTTTTTTAA